AACCAACCAACCAGCTTCTCACCAGAAACTTCATCCTTTTTCCTCTTCTTTGGCTTAGAGGCAGTAGACTCACAAGCTGATACTGTTGGTTCTGAATGGCAGCCTAACTGGGGCACAATAATCTCTTTAAGACCTAAAAAACAAAAGATTTATGAATTACTAATACTATTTAAGAGTAAGTATGAGGCCCATATCTGGCAAAAATTTAATTTATAAAAATATATATCACCCTAAAAAATTATGGAGTGATTGCCGCCTTTGAAAAAAGTTCATTTAGGCTCAGTGGCTGTAGCTCACTGAGTAGGGTGCCAACCACATACACCGAAGGTGGTGGGTTGGAACCCGGGCCTGATAAACAATGACAACTGCAACCAAAAAATAGCCGGGCATTGTGGTGGGCGCTTGTAGTCCCAGCTACTTGGGAGGCTGAGGCAAGAAAATTGCTTAAGTTCAAGAGTTTGAGGTTGCTGTGAGCTGTGATGCCACGACATTCTACTGAGGGTGACATTAAAAAAAAAAAAAGAAAGAAAGAAAGAAAAGAAAAGAAAAGAAAAAAGTCCATTTAAAGCCTGGTGCAGTGATAGTCGTCCCAGTTACTTGGGAGGCTGAGGTCAGAAGATCCTTTGAGCCCTGGAGTTTGAGGCCAACCTGGGCAACCTAGCAAGATCATGTCTCTTAAAAAAAGAAAAGAAAGGGCTCAGTGCCTGTAACTCAAGCAGGTAGGGCACCAGCCACATACACCAGAGCTGGAGGGTTCAAATTCTAGCCAGGGCCTGCCAAACGACAATGACAATTACAACCAAAAAATAGCCAGGCATTGTGGGGAGTGCCTGTAGTCCCAGCTACTCAGGAGGCTGAGGTAAGAGAATTGCCTAAACCCAGGAGTTGGAGGTTGCTGTGAGCTGTGATAACATAGCACTCTACAGAGGGCAACAAAGTGAGACTGTCTCAAAAAAAAGAAGGAATACTTTTCACTTGAATTATCCAGCAACTGCTTTTGACAATTGCCAGGATAATCTCCAAATGCATCAGTAGAACTCTTTCATGGCATTTTAGAAAACCAGAGGAACTGTGTCAGGCATACCACCTACCGCTGGAATCAAAATTTAGGAAGTCTGAGAATTCCTGAGCCAGTGTCTCATCACTGGCAAAGGCACAGATGCAGGCAAAGAAATGAATACATCTCTGGGCTGCTTCGTCCTTGGAGGTGTTCAACTTATGCGATTTCAGAGTCTGACAGGAGCAGAAGAAGCGGCGCTCAGGCAAGCTTTTGGCACTGATTTTCTGCACAAAAGATGTATGCAGATACCCCAAACTATGCTTCTGGCTTGCCTTGCATTTTACCACCAAGATGTTTTTAGTAATCCTCTGTACCAGGGGGCCCGTGGGTTCTGTGGCCAACTGCCAGATGGTCTGTTTGGTTTCTGGGGAAGCCTGCATTGCATTTAGGACTGAGCTCTTTAGGGTCAGCGGCGTGGCCTCTGCCTGGCAGTTCAAGGCCAGCTTGATGTGCTGGCATTGGTTTTCCACAACGCCTTGGGTGGCAGCTTTTAAGCATGAAGGGACATAGCACCGCCCAGAGCTCAGCTGAGTGATGATGGTCCCATCTACAGTCTGGATTGTTGTCTCTGAAACCCCCAGCTCCACAAAGCATCGGTAATCAGGGCCTCGGTCTCTTTGTCGCACTGAGTAGACCTGCAGATCGGAGCCTGTGATGATTTTGACAGCCTCAACACTAGGCTGCTTCTGTGCACCGTAGCGGAATATGGTTCCACAAGTCTTATTCTTACAGCTCAGTCCCCGGGTTCCATTGTATGTGCCACATCGGGGACACTTTCTGATTCCCCTCAATGTGGCCTTGCCCAAGTCAGATAAGAAAGCTGGGACTTTAGTCCTCAGAGAGTTTGGTTCCATTTTTCACAGGCCCTATAACAGACAATAAGCTCATCAGCATGAGTAGACATTCAAACATAGTAGACATACACAAAGTTCAAATCACTTAGGATACTCAGTACAGAAAGTGAAACATAAAGAAGTTACCCACCATTTTCAAACAGTACTATCAGACAACATAAATTTAGCTGGGTGTGGTGGCTCATGCCTGTAATCCTAGCACTCAGGGAGGCTGAGGCAGTTGGATTGCTTGAGTTCAGGAGTTCAAGACCAGTTTGAACCAGAGCAAGACCCAGTCTCTAAAAATAGCCAGGTTTTGTCATGGGCACCTGTAGTCCAAGCTACTTGGGAGCTGAGGCAAGAAAATCACTTGTGTCCAACAATTTGAGGTTGCTGTGAGCTATGTCACAGTACTCTACAGAGAGCAACAAAGTGAGACTTTGTCTAAAAAGAAACAAACCCCATAACTTTAAACCCTCAAACAAAATAAAAGTGAAGGAAACTTTGCCTTTCATATCTCCATATATTAAAAAAAAATTCCTAACGTAACAAGAAAAGCATTTCTCCAGTCTGTTCTATATAACAGCCAAGGTTAGTTAACCTAATCTTTATATGCACAGATGTTTAACCTCAGCAAGGATGCTAGAACCAGGAAAGATGAGTTCTTTCCCTTTCACCATTCCCCACAAAATGCAGTAAAATCCTACCTGTACCAGTTGCCAGGGCATCTGGAAAATAGTATGACCTGAATTCATCAAACCTAAAAGGTGTTTCATTAGTTTCTGATGATCAGAGAGGACAGGGAAAGACATAATCACTTGCAGAGTAAATGACACCACTTAGCCAGCAGTCTTCTGAAGTTTGAACACTGTGGTGTAACAATGCAGATGTTCTGCTTCCTCCTCCTGGACCAACCAATGGCAAACCTCCTGCCCAATGTTCCACAGTCAGAGAAGATTCCCACTGCCCTAACTAGAGATCTTGGCAGTCTATAAATAAAACAAGAAGAAATATTAAAGTTATACAAAAGGATGATCCATTTATTTTAGAAATCAAACAGAACAGGAATCTAAGTCTTTCAAATTATTTGAGAAATAACATGATGACATTTTAATGAAAATGGTTAAGTGTTTTGCACTTCCAACTGCAAGAGGGTAAAACAGTGCTAATGTCGTTACACGGAGGGTTGTTAATATCTAGAGCTGGTTGGGCTCAGTGGCTCACATCTGTAATCCTAGCACTCTGGGAGGCC